CATCCAGCAAGACAGGCTCTTTGTTAGGAATGTTTTAGCAATCTTTGACCTATGCATGCTCCTGTGGGTGAACTTGGGATCATTATCAGTAGAAATGTATGGATCCAAAATTCCTTACAGGAGTTTGGATCCAGAGATTTGGTTCAGGCTTGTCTAGCAGTATTTAAATTGTAAGATCTTTGAAGCTGGGATAGCGTCTTCAGAAAGCACCTGTCTGTAAAGTTCCAAGCCTAGCATAGTGTTGATGCTATACAAATAAGAATCTGTAAATAAAACAATAAACAAGCAATAATAATTACAACCTAGATAATGGGTAACACAAGAATGGCTGATTGCAATCTAATGACAATTAAATATTGCATTCTCAGACACTGAAAATGTTCTAAAATACAACTCTTCAGCTTGCAACAGCAGATGTGAGACCACTGGAATCCAGGAGACTCAGCTGTCTTTGGGCTAAATTGTCCTCTCATTTCCAAGAGACTGGATTATGCAACAGGAAAATGAACTTGTGTTAGGTCATGAAGTTCCTCATAGACTTTTTATTGCTGTTTTCCACAAATGGTTGTTTAAGGACTCTAACCTGAGGGAGCATTAGTTACCTGAGAAGCAGCATGGTCTAAAGAGTAGAGCATTGGCCTGAAATTCAGGAGACCCGAGTTCTATTACCAGTTCTGCCAATGACCTGCTGCGTGGCTTTGTATAAGCCACTGTTCCTATGCTTCCTCTCTATCGTTCTTCTATATATAGACAATATATGCCTCTTGAGGGCAGGGATTATCTCTTACTATGTGTTAGCATACTATTAGTTAGTTAATAGCATGGAATAGGTTTTTTAGAATGTGTAGGGCTGAGTATTATAGGAATATGTAGCAATATGCAGACTATATGCACATTCCGTATATCACACCTATGTCACAGAACAGGAATGGGGCTAGAGGGTAACATTTTCAGAAATGCCTAAGTGAGTTAGAAGCTCAAGCCCCATTTTCAAAAGTGCCTAAGTCACCTCAGAGAGAGCTGTGCAAATAATACTTTTTTTGGTTTGCTGACAATTCCAGAAAAGTGGGGAAAAATTGCTTTGGGTCAACCTGCAAATAATTTAAAACACCAAAACATACATGGCAAATTGAAAAGTAAAAGAAAAAAATTCATTTTGGGTAGAACAAAACTTTTTATTTGACCGGAATCAAAATGTTTCATGAGCCTTTTTAAACTATTTGCATTTTAAAAAATAACATGAAGAAAATTTCTACACACAGTCATTTCAACAGCCTAAATCAGAACTTTCCATTTAAAAAAATGTTGAAATGAAACATTTTATCTTTTCCAGATTTGTTTGTTTTCAAAATGAATAAAACTGAAATGAATTCACAAAATGTCTTGATGTTGCTGAATCTGCATATTTAACAGACAAAAAGTTTTGGCTGAACATTTTCACCTGGCTCTAATTTAGGACCCTAAATCCCTTTGACTTTCAAGAAGACTTAGCTTCTTCAGTCACATAGGTGTTTTTGAAAATTTTACCCAGCACCTACATCTGATTCACAAGAAAGTCAGCAGTAAAAGGACTGCAGAGGTGCTGGTATATTAACAGAAATCTGAAACCTGATGACTGAGTGCCTGGCCACAACCAAGGAAGTAATAAGATATTTGAATGCGTGGAGAAATTAAACATATGCTAAGGGAAAATGCAATGCCCAATATTCAATAGGATTTTGCCTACTGTGCCTAGTATTGCAGAAAGATAGTGAAAAGATGGAAAGGTAAAAATGAAGGGGAACAAATGTATGTAGCTTCTTAAGCAGTGAATGGAGGCTAGAAAAACTAGTCTTGAGTATTTATTACAAATCAGGAAATTGCAGGTCCAATCATGCAGTCGTCCATGTATGAAATTCAAGCATGGACCCTCCCCCCCGAAAGGAAAACTACTACAGGAGCTAACTTAATATAGGACATGAATGAAACACTGTATCTAAAAGGTATGATGGGAAGACTATAGATGCCCCAGAATGTTTTGAGATGTGTGAGATTCTGGAAGGAAAGGGAAATGAATTTGCAGTCTGGTAGGCCAGGATCAAAGGAGCTTTAGGAGGAACTTGTTTTTTCACTGGGATGGTTAGTGTGTAGAATCAATTGGTTTAAAAATCAATATGTATATTTAAGAAATGCCTAGAGGGAAAAATATATTACAAGATACAGTTGGAAAAAACAGACATGGATGGACAACATGATCTCCTTAGTGCCAAAAGTTTCTGTTATATAATGTGTGTGTTTCATTTGTACAAATGTCAAGGATTCATTAGATGATGAATTATGGAATTTAGGTTTGCAGTGCTACCCTCATGGTCAAGCAAAGCTGCAATTGTGCAAGGCAAGCGACCCTGAAATAAACATAGGAAGGAAAATAACATCTTGGTTTAGAAAGGATCCAACAAGCTGCTGCCCTTGAACATAGCTCATTATGTAGTTTCATTCCCTTGATGAGCTCAGAAGAATAAATAATAAAGGTCTTTCAGAAAGAATCCTGTATTTGTATTCCTGTCCAAGAACGGGAAGCAGACCTGAAGTGCTCTTCCTAATTTGCCCCATCCTCTTTCTACCTTATGTATTTGCATATATCTCACAAATGAGATACTCATTAGCTCTTGATTTATCATTGTATTTCGAGACCCCTTTTCCAACCCATTCCTTCCTCTCCTGCAATAGCAATCCAAGACTGACATTAACTTTTACTCTTGTTACTGTCCTGCCCAGTAATCATAGGCATTACAGGTGAGCTGGGGAAGGCCCAGGTTCACCAAGAGGCACAAATGGCTCCAGGAGGAATATGATGACATCAGTGACATTACCACGTGGTCAGGAGCCGCTGCCTCCTTTGAGTGGCTGATGACGGAGTGTGTGTATGGGGAAGGGGGGCTCCCAGCTGCCACAGCTACTTGGCTACAGGTGGCTGGGGGAAGTTCCTAACTGCTTCTGCCTCTCTGGGTGGAGATGGGAGCACTGACTGCCACTGTTGGGCTCCCTCCTACCCAATTGCCACTGGTGTAGCTTGTGCAACGGCCTGGATCACTTTTCATCTTTATACCATCTGAAGCAGGGAGCCCTGTGATGAGACTGGTTCACTTCCCCCCACCAGAGCTGAGGGCTCTCACCTCCACAGGTGCTCTTGGGGCCAGGCCCTGTGAGGAGGCTGCCTGCTACACCTGGATTGGGGGGGGGGGTCCTGTTTGTGGGGAGGGACCTCCCTTCAACAGTATGCTGCCCAATAGTGAGCACTCTGCTGGAGTGGGCAGGGCTGAGGCCTCCCTCCTCCTGGATGCACCCAGCCTACCCAAGTATGGGGAACACTGGACTAGGGAACAAGGAGGCCCCAGCTTCCCTGAAAAGCAGCAATAGCCGGGGGTTATGAACAGGCAGTGGGCCCCATCAGCCTATTTGAAGGCCCCTTTCATCACCAACACAAGTATTATGATTATTTATTGTTTTTATTATCATAGCAGCTAGGAGCAGGACCCACTCAGAGAGCAGGACCCTATTGTGCTAGGTAATGGATAAACACAGAACAAAAAGCCCTTGTCCCAAGGAGTTTAAAATCTAAGTAGGGGCAGAGTCATGTGGGATGGAGTGGGGCCACCTCTGGGTTTCTCTGAGTGGGTGTGTCTAGGATCCTCAGTTGCCTTAATCCAGCTCTGGTTAGGGACAGTTGAGATTGTGAGGATATTTACAGGTATGAGGGGGAAGAAAGAGTGAGGAGGAAACAGATATGGTGAGGGGGGACAGAGGTGGGGGTTACAGGGAGAAGATCAGACCTGTGAACAGAGTCAGGTAAGAATCCGCGAAGTGTAGGACTGGGAAGGGCCTCAAATAGTCATCTCGTCCAGTCCTCTGCACTCAAGGCAGGACTACACAATAACTAGAGCATTCCTGACATGTGTTCTTAAAAACCTCCAGTGACAGAGATTCACAGCTTCCCTTGGCAATTTATTCCAGCGTTTAACTACCCTGACAGGAAGTTTTTCCTAATGTCCAACCTAAACTGCCCTTGCTGCAATTTAAGCCCAATGCTTCTTGCAAGAGTTCACTTCTGATCTCATATCTGGCTATGAGCTGCTGCCAATGGGATGGCTCAGTACAGCCCCAACACACACTCACTGGAGTTTCTGCATTAACTAAATTTACCTGCAGTATAATCCTGCTTGCAGCATCGCCAGACAGACGGACACAGGGACAGATCAACAATATCATCCCACTCCGTTTACAGCACCTGTAGGTCTGTGTAGTATCTACCTGTCCGTCTACTCAGGCTATATTCTCTCTCTCTCTCTCTCTCTCCCACACACACACCTTGATTTTCTCTGCACTATTGTCCTCACAACTCCGTCTCAGTTCATCTCCGCATAGAGCATCCAGAGATCGAATCTGTCTAATCACCTCTGAGAGTTGCACAGTGTTACAGTCCCACAACCCCCCCGCTATGTGTGTGCCACAGGAAGACACACACCGGCTGCTCTGCAAACCAAACCTCCAGCCACTGCTTGACACGCGCAGCACAGACACACACACACTCACATGCCCAGAGCGCTGCAAACTAACCCCCCTCTCCCGTCCGAAGTGAACAGGCTTCCGCAAGGCAGCCCCGCTCAGAGAGGGAGACCCCGGGACGCTCCGAGGGACACAGCAGGTGTGGAGACTCTGCCCATGGCTGACAAGAGCTTCATTGAGAAACCCGAGCCCTTCCCGCAGAAGGAGGAGGCTTTGGAGTGGGGCTACGAGGAAGGTAAGGAGAGGGTGGGAAGGCAGCGGGCTCCCGGAGCTGCTGGAGGGAGAAGTTTCATTGTGCGGGGGAGAAAGGGACGTTTCACCCATGGAAAGGCAAAGTACAGTGACATGCAGACCATCATCACACCGTCGTAATGCTGGCTTGTGGGGTTCCTCCTTAGCAGCTAAACTTTCATGGTGTCAAGGGGCACTGTCAACTTTCATTTGACCAAATCCATATGTGGTACAAACACCCTTTTATGCAACCTAAGACCAACAGAAATATTTTCCCCATTAAACAAACAAACAAAAACCTAACAGGAGAAATCAGGTATTTTAAAAATAAATAAATATTCCTCTGCTGCCTTTAAAATTCAGACACTGGAGCACTAAGAACCTGATAGTGAAACCGACTATAAAACAAAGTAGAACTGATTTAGCTGATTTCATTGTCCAAGGTCAAAGAAATGCAAAAAAGGCAAACTGATCATAAATTATGAGTAGCCAATGGGATTTTAAAAATTAATTCATGTTGAACTATCTAACAGTATTAGTAACAGGGGTAAAGGAATTTGTTGGTTTACAGCATTTTTTGACAGTGTCCCTTTAAGTGAAAGGGTCTATTCAATTATATATTTTTGCATGTATGTAAAGCTGCATGCCCTTCATGAAAAACAGTCATATTTTATTTCCAGATGCTAGCTTTTCATTTTATTTTTAGGAGTCGAATGGGGCTTGATCTTTCCTGATGCTAATGGAGAATACCAGTCTCCTATTAACTTGAATTCAAGAGAAGCCAAATATGACCCCTCACTACTAGAAGTACGTTTATCACCAAACTATGTTGTTTGCCGTGACTGCGAAGTAATTAATGATGGGCATTCCATTCAAATTATCCTTAAGTCAAAATCAGGTATGCTTAATCATTGTTTACATTTTTTCCCAACACAATAAAATGGATGATAAAGTTTAGATTGTCTTAAGGAATATTCTCTGCACAGTAACTGAACTGAGAAAGAACATTCACTTCTATAAATGAGCTGTGATCCAGATTCTGCATCATTTTAGTCAATAGTAGTTTTGCCACTGACTTTAATGGAAGCAGGAGTGAGCTTTGTGGGTAGCTGGATTGTTGTGGTCCAAAACTGGACATTCATTTTTGTGACACTGTTAGAAATCTAATAATTAATCCTATGTCAAGAAAGTTAGCTGCTGTTAGAAATCTAATAGTTAATCCTTATATCAAGAAAGTTTGCTGATGCCAGCCTGGTTCACAACATGCAGCATTGTTCAAAATTTCCGCTTATGATGGTGTGACCTAATTCACTTGAGCCAACAGTGTTTGAAGTTTAGAAATTGTCCAGAATATAACTAAGATGTTGTGGAACCCAAATTGTATTTTATACTTATGACTGACAGACTGATCCAAAGTCTATGGAAATCAACAGGAGTTTTCCATTGACTTCCATGGCTTTTGATGATGCACTATATGGATAACTGTGGACCTTGATGGTTCATTTAGGATAAGATGCTTGAATTATACTTAGGATGTTGATAGGCCTTCAATTGTAAAGGGTATTGCATCAGTATTTGCCCCCCCCCGCTTTTCCCGCCCCCCTCCAAAACCCCTAGAAAGCAATAAAAACACCATTTCCAGCTTAACTGAAAGTTGAAATCTTGGGTGAGGAATTCTGTGATCAGAACTTTGCATCTGGATGAGCTATGCTCAGTGCAGGACTTAAAAGTCTGGAGGGAAGGTGGAGAGAGGCAATCCTTTGTGATCTTCCAGTCCTGTGGTGGACAGGGGCCAGTTCAGACCCTGCATAAAGTTAGAGGAGTCTCAGAACTGTGCTGGCTGGTAACAAGACTGCTAGAGCCCAAGGCTTTCCAGCCATGCCTGACATGCCACCTACTCAAAGCAGTCTGGGAAGGATGGTGCAGAGCCAGCTTTATGTCACCTGGTTATTCACCTGTTCTGGGGGAATCCCCAGTTGCTCTGTTAGTGCAAAGAGGTCAGAGCAAGGGCCCAGGATCTGGCCTGTGATGTTTATTTTCATCAAACCATATAGGTGGCGGATTTGTATAGTGGAAGGAGAAACAGGCATGCAATGTACATCTTTGAGATGAGCTTTAGTCTGTCAAGATAGCACTAGGGATTCATGTTAATATTCAGAAAGTATGGTGTTTACCATATTTTAACAAGGATGAAAACTTGCATGATGTGACCAGTCAATTCACCACAGCAAGTGTTCTGAGGGCCACCAGTGATACATGGGCCATTGTTTGGGCACTTCTGTTGGAGGAGGGGGGGATTTTTACAGAGAGTTAAAAAGTTATACATGTCTGGATATGAGGTCCTAGAAAAGGAGTAAGTCACCTCTAGGTCACCACCGTGAATTCATAGTGATAGTGCCTAACTGTTACTGTCTTTGGTGACATGTGGGAAATAAGCTGGCAGTCTCAGTTAAGTCCCATCTTCTGTTCCTAGGTCTGCCACAGATTTCCTGTCGCTTAATCTCTCTGTGCCCCCGTTCTCCATCTGTAAAATCAGGATAGATCTTTCATTACAGGTGTATGTCTTCTGCCTCCAGGAGGGGGAGGAAGGAGTTAATATAAGCTCCCTTAAGCTTAAAGACCACAACACTAGAACGCCTCTGTGTCCAGTTCTCTAAACTGGCCAAACCCAGGATCTTGCTATGGCTCCCACAGCTTCAGAGCCGGCTTTAGGAAGTGCGGGGCCCGATTCGAACAGTTTTGACGGGGCCCCGGCAGGGATGACTGGAAAAAAAAAAAACGTAAAAAAAACATGTGGGGCTTGTACTCACCGGGCGGCACTCGTAGTCTTCAGCGGTTTGTCCTTCACTCGCTCCGGGTCTCTGGTGGCACTAAAGGACCTGCTGCCGAAGACCCAGAGCGAGTGAAGGACCCGCCGCTGAAGTGCCGCCAAAGACCCGGAGCGCTGCCGGGTGAGTAAAAATTAAAAAGGAGCCTCTAGCCAGGGAAGGGATTCTCGGCCACTTCTTTCTCCCCTCCCCTCCCCTCCGGCGGCCCTGCCACTGGGCGCGGGGCCCTCTTAGGCGCGGGGCCCGATTTGGGGGAATTGGTGGAATTGGCCTAAAGCCGGCCCTGCACAGCTTGCCATCTCATGGGCTGCTGTGAAGACAAATCCATTTAGCCAGATTTTCTAAATGGGAGCTCCTGAGCACTGAGCACTTTTGAAAATATGGCCAATTAATGTATGAGAGGTTCCCATATACATGGCGTAGTAGCCATAGAAAAGCCTACAAATATATAAAGTGGAATGACTAAAATATACACCTCTACCCCGATATAACGCTGTCCTTGGGAGCCAAATAATCTTACCGCGTTATAGGTGAAACCGCGTTATATCGAACTTGCTTTGATCTGCTGGAGCGTGCAGCCCCACCCCCCAGAGTGCTGCTTTACCGTGTTATATCTGAATTCGTGTTATATCGGGTCGCGTTATATCGGGGTAAAGGTGTATATTAAAATCAATAGTTATTCCATTTCAGACTATACATTTTTCAGCTGTATCATTGCACAGTGCACATATTGTTGTCATCTATAGAGCTATCATTAATGATGGTTCTTTTGATCCTTAATTCAGAACATACATTCAGACTCTTCATTTGACTTTATAAACATTTTATAGGCTGCATCCAGTTTGGGCACTGTGCATGTATGATATATAAGATGGAGAAAGCATGACTGACTTTACAATGGAGGAGAATAGATATGATTGAGAGCCTTCTTGAATATTTCAGAAATATTTTAGGGGCATTCTACTAGCAGAAACACTTCTTCTTTGACCACAATGCAGGTCAAGTATACTTTACAAGGAGTGACAGTTTCAGTTTCAGAACGCAACAAAAAAACTTCAAAACAGACTCCAAAGAGAGACAGCTGAACTTGAATTATATGCAAATTAGATACAATTAACTTAGGTTTGAACAGAGACTGGGAATGGTTGGCTCGTTACACTAATTGAATCTATTTCCTCATGTTAAAATATGTTAAAATATCCTCACACCTTCTATGGGTCATCTCGATTATCACTTCAAAGGTTTTTTTCTCTCTCCTGCTGATGATAGCTCATCTCAATTGATTGGCCTCTTACAGTTGGTATGACTACTCCCACCTTTTCATGTTCTCTGTATATATAAATATCTTCTTTCTGTGTGTTCCATTCTATGCATCCAATGAAGTGGGCTGTAGCCCACGAAAGCTTAAGCTCAAATAAATTTGTTAGTCTCTAAGGTGCCACAAGTACTCCTGTTCTTTTTGTGGATACAGACTAACACGGCTGCAACTCTGAAAAAAGTTTCAGAATGATTTTCCAATAGGGAATCACACATTGCAGAGAGGCAAAGTGCACATGAATATATTCTATGCACTAATAATAAATAGTCTTAACATGAGATGAATGTTATGAATTAAGCCTCAGAGATAGGTTTGGTGATGGTCCTGTAGGTCCAAAACAATATTACAGTAGAGAGCACTTCCAGTCACACATATAATGGGAATAATATTTCCTTTCACCAAAAAAATCTGTGTTACTAAAGATATAATATTAATATAACACATTATCAGATTTTGCTGTATTCTGGACATGTTGGTTTCCTCAATGTTTATCACACTGAAGACAGTGAGAGACTAGAGTTTGATAGGCTTTGGAGCAGACCTGTAAGCATTCTAAGCCCCAAATCTGCCCTTGTATATGAGAACATTACTCCTACTGACTTCAGTGAAGAGTTTTAAGCATGTACCTGAATGCAATATTTGGTCCTAAGCAGCTTCAGGACTCACTGGACCAAACTCTGGTATGGATGGAAGTGAGGGCCAAAGTTTGGCTTCGGATCTGTACACCTATGTGTATATACCATTGCGAAAAGATAGATTAATGTCAAATGTTCAAGTTATAATTTATACTTCTTTTCATTTTTTATGACTGGGGGATGGATCTTTTTGTTGTTTAATTTTAAAGCATTATCCCACATTCACAACTATGGGTTTTAGAAACAGCAGTAAGACTATTCTGGTGGTCTAGAGTACTGTGAAGCATCTTCCTAGTGGTTTACTTTAAGTAAATATAGTATAGTGTTGATATTGACTCTTAAGATTATTTATTATGAGCTCATGGAACATAAGGGCAACCTATATCTCACAAGCCTGGCAGGTGTTGTCTATCAAAATATCATTATCTAACAAAACATTGGCAGTCAAGAATGCCAGAGTTTCATGACCAATTTCCGCACAACAAACATAGGTGATACAGGCGAGGCATTTGTACAGCTACGAGGCAATTATGCACTTTGACACCAGAAGGAAACCACATCATCTGGTTAGAACACAGAGCGTCTGTTTGGTTATCAATCTATAAACCTATTCACTCTTTGGAGTGATAAGCATACAATGGTTTTATCTTGCAATATGACTAGCTGTTCTACCTTGTAAAACTCAGAATGCAGGATAATACCATTTTCATAGCATTATATAACTGAGAATGAATTGGGATTCTGCAGATGGGTAATAACACAGGAGAAAAGGCAGCAGGTATGTTAGCTTTGCTCCCATTCTCTCTTAGATAAATCGTAATAAAGAAGTTTGCAACAATCTCCCAATTGTTTGTGGACAATATACTCAGCAGCTTGTTTGCTTGGAAAACTAAGTATGTCTTCATTTGTGTTCTTTTCCAGTGTTAGTAGGTGGTCCATTACCTCGGGGACATGAATTTGAACTACATGATGTTCAGTTTCACTGGGGGAGAGAAAACCAGCGTGGCTCTGAACACACTGTTAATTTTAAAGCTTTTCCCATGGAGGTAAGAATGACAACACATTACAAAAAACCTGTGCTATGCATAAGATGTTAAATCATTGCTTGATAACCTGGTAGTTCAAAACAGCTTTTATTTTAGCTCAGCATTTTTCATACGAAAAAACCGTCTGCTGAAGTGTGCTTTAGTGCCAGTAAATTGAGATTTGAGTCTTTAGTAATGTGCCTCTAGCATACATCGTATTGCATGATTAATTGGCCATAAAGTTAACTTGCAGAACTATTAACTTCTGTCTTAATAATATTAGCATTCTAACAAGATCTGCTATTTCAACACTTCCTATGTCACCTTGACTAATAGCTATAGTTGGGGGGAAATAGCTGCTGGAAGCCTTTCCATGGTAAATAATAATTAAATAATAAACTTGTTTTAAAAAAGCATAAATAAATTGTTCATGAAAAGCTTTAGACATCTGAAAACTGGAGGATGTATGAAATTCTTCTATATAATCATAGCATGGAGTGAAGCTCAGGTTTGGAAAGAAGGGTACAAATGTTCTGCAATCTTAAAATTTGAGCTGTTCCACAGATACTCAGCTTTATGTTCCACGATTGCAACTGTACTGCAGAAGATCATTCCAGTATTTTCATATACTGTGCACTTCATCTTATGTTTTATAAGGAGACTTTCATGCCTTTTTTCAGAGGTTTTAAAATTATTTTTGCCTTGCTATTTATCATAATCCCTTAGAAGCTCGAAATGCTCCATTTATGCTCTCCTCTTCAAGTGCTTGGGCATTTGTTACTGACTGGTTACACATGGAGCCCACTCTGCTGGAATAGAATTTTTTAAAAGAAAAAGGATAAAAATCAGTGTTTATTTAAAAAATAAATATAAAAATCCACACGGACTTGTGGAATAGATACAGGTTTAATGCATAGCTTAAATACCTGTGTTAGGAACATTGGTCAGATCTTGGCCTCTGCTGTGACTGTTTTGTATCAGTCCACTGCAGAACTGGCTTCAGGAAAGTTACCCCTATATGGGGGACTCACCAGGTAATGTAGGGCCAGAGTAACAGCTTCTACACCCCCTTTTACTGGACCCTGTATAGATGCATCCCCACGCCAAAGCAGTTCCAGTGGCCCCTTGTGACAGTGGGCAACTGATGCAAGATAAAGCAAACCTGTCCCCAGTAAGTTAATGTCCATTTAAAAAATAAATCAGTATGTAAAAAAAGGTCAGCATGGAGGCAAGCCATGAAAAAGGTCCAGGGATTAGCCAACGGATCTGATCAGCCTCAGTGGGAACCCATGCTGCGTCTCCTTTAAGGGCAGCATGACAGCTGTGCTAAAACGTCCTGACAAAGTGAGGGATGTCAAACCCAAGATTTCATTACAGTTAGCACAGAAGTGTGTATATAGATCTATAGAAGAGCAAATTGGGTTCCACTTCATCTCTTGCATCAAAGCCATTTTTGGCTAAGTTCTGATCCTAGGATCTTGCTTACTGGTGACAGTAGGATAGGTCTAATGGCTGGAAGCTAAGATTTATTGATTATTTAAAATACATTGTAAAAGAAGCATACACATGCAGCCTTACACACAGGTCTCCAAGCAGATTTCTTTTGTGGGACATTATCACTCTTGGGTTAGAATTCATGTACAGACAGATATACAGGCCGTAACCCATGTCCCTTATTCCCACACTATCCTGCTTTGACAGCCTGTAGATTGACTTCTTTGCATGTCTTTTGGGGAGATTGAAATGGTGGAGGAACCACACTTTCTGTAGAAAACTTCTGCTCCATGTTCCCCTTCTACCTATGAGTTTTCTAGTCTTAGGCATACAGGACAGCTACATTTTGGTCCAAATATCATACTGTAAAAATTGAGGAGGGTGAAAATAGGTGCTCATGACAAATACATATGTTCCTTCAATAGTATGATTTATGTCACATCTTACAGAACACGGGATTCTAATCACTGTCTTCATTCTGGAGATTTCCACACATTACTTTTATCAAGAACAGTCACTTTGATCAGTAGAGCTATTTTCTTGCCTGTTATACGGGCATCTTTTTGTTCAGGAGCTGGTGGTCATAGTATGTATTTTAGGGCCTTGTTTTCAGCGGGTTGGTAGGTAACAGTAATTTAATGTGTACACTAATAGATAGTGATAGGTGTCTACCCAGTTGCATACCCATCTGTGGAGTATGTGTTCTCATCTTGTAGTGTGTATGTGTAAATGGGTATACACAAATGCAAGCCTGAGAATCAGGCCCCTGAGAGCTGTGCCTGGCTTTTCCACTAGAAGAGAATGTCTGTCCCAACTGCTGATTTTTGCCTTAGAAGCCTGAAATACATTTCTGTCACTGAGAATAAAAAACATTGGACGATAAGACTTTCAGGAGGACCCAAACCAAGTATATGAACAAATGATAAACAAAACTGCATGGTTTTTACTAAATCTATTAGCAACACACCAGACTGGGACTAGATTGTAATCTCTATTATTCCATTAACATCCCGAGTAATTCTATTGAAGCCAATGTAGTAACTCTGGATCTCAACTGATATATTTGATATGGCTCTCTGTATTTATTGATCAGAGCAGCAGTTTGATTTTGAATTCCGACTCTAAGATATAGGAACCATCCTACACACCCTTACATTAATAAACTGGGCCAGCTATTACAGAACAGCTACAGAATATCAGCGTAACAACCCTTGTAAAGTCTGACTTTAGACAGGAATGTTACTTCTCAATGTTTGGAAGAGGATTACTGCTTAGTTCCTTCCTCTGGTTCTTTACCCTTGATATAACTATTAGATAGGAATTAAGCAATATCCTGTATCTCTAAGTGTAACAATCTATTATTTTCTGACTAGACATCTTGGAATCTTGCACAGGGTTAGGACATTCAGGTTCATGGCTAAATAGATTAGCAAATTAGGTTTGTACTGTGACCTCTGGGACAAACACTTGAAATGATTTACCATGTTGTTTTAACAAAACTGCTGTTCATGTGACTCCTTCAGAGGCTAAATTTGTTGTTTTTATTATTATCAGAAATTCAGTAAAGTCTTGTTTTTTCAGCTTCCCCAGTGGAAGAAATCAAAATGTTGACTTTAATATATATGTTATCATTTTAATTGAAACCCTTGTAGTTGCAATAACCAAGATAAGCCAGACAAAGCAGCAAACTGCAGTCTAATGTAAACATTGTAACACCTTTTTTAACATGTACTGTACATGTTGTTCACAATCCTCCTCCCTTTGTTTCTAGAAAGAAATACAATGCCCAATCTTGCCTTGCAGCCAAAAACTGGGAGGAGGTATTTCATACAGCCTTCCTCAGAAATCATATGCAGTATTCTACTGAGCATACTCAGGGATACTTTACTCTCTCAGGCTGTTGTTGATGTTAAAAGTTTGATAAAGAGCTCAACAATAGAAGATTAGTATCTAGTTCCATTTCCTTGAAAGATACAGAGGCTAGACTGTGACTTGGAGTACACACCTATACAGCGGAGAAAAGGGAGTAAGAGCTACTCTTCTACCTGTGCATGAACTACCCAAGCCTTGAGTGTGGAGATGAATGAATAAGTGGGTGCTGCAACCGCCTTACTCTTCACCCCCTCCAGAAGGTGGGTGGGGAATGGGAAGGAAGGGGTGGCAAATGTGTGGAACCTTGATTCTCCCCCTCCTACTTGTTGCCTGCTGCAGGAATGGAGGTTAAGAATTTACTGCTGATATAGGCCAACAGCAAATTACCACCCTACTGGAGCAAGGGAGAAGCCTGGAGGGAATTGTGCCTCAGAGCCGTGTCTCTGAATGTCATAGTATGTCCCTGAACTTGTCCTAGGCCGGTGTAGCTTACACACTGGTACTTGCTCAGGACTGGGCCAAACAGCACAATTTAACCCTAAAAGAACAATTAATTTTTAGAATCAATCACAGGAAGCTGCTATAAAATAAAACTGACACTGGTCAAAAATGGTTCCTCGCAATGCTAGCAATTTGACTGGGAGCAGAGTGGAGAATTCTGTAGAATCCAACCCTTTAAAATATTGGCTGATGTTAGCTTGTTTTGTACACACATTACTAGCCAGCTGCAGTATGTTTTTTCCAAATCTTGTGCAAACGATCAGTGGAAGGGAATAAGCTGCAAATCATTTCCAAGCCTTTCCAAGATGTAGAGGAAGAGAAACACCTTCCCTTTTGCTGTCATAAATTTTCAGTTAAAAAAACCCAACCTCACAGTTGCCTGCGGAGTCCGAATGAGTTTTGAACAGCAAAGCCAAACAAAAGTAAAAAATAAAATAAAATTGTCTTTTGCGTAATGTAATATAAACCAAACTCGTTTGTTCTGTAGTATTTTTCATCACGACAATAACTATCACTAAAAATGCTGTAATAAATACGTAAAACTCACCCAGTCTAAATGAAACAATTAGATTTTCTTTTGCTCATCTGAAATGATGCCATCTTAAGTATTTAATTGAGACAAAGTACTATTTTATGGCTTCAGACTAAAATTATGATATTACATTTCTCTCCCTCAAGCATCTTCACCATCTGTTTAGCAATACATAGGGTTTGGTTCTTTGGATTTTTTTAATGAGCACAGCTTTCAAATCAGATATATAGACTGTACCAATCTGCTCTTTTTCATTTCTGTGAGAAAAAATTCCATGCCCCTAACGCACAGGTTTATTCTCAACTTTACCTTAATCTTGAAATGTCTGAATTAGGTTTTGTTAAAGCATTTTGGACCAAATTCTGCTCACCTTTGGTATGTCTACACTGCAGTAAAACACCTGTGAATGGCTCATATCAGTTGGCTTGGGCCGCAGGGCTATAAAATTGCAGTACAGATGTTTGGGCTCATGCTGGAGCCTGGGTTTTGGGACCCTGAGGGGGGAGGGTCCCAGAGCCCAATCTCCAGCTTGAGCCCAAATGTCTATACTGCAGTTTTGTAGCTCCACATCTGAAGCCCCGCGAGCCCAAGTCAACTAACATGGGCCATCTGTGAGTGTTTT